GGCTATTTGCCCTCCCGTGCTACCAAATCCACTTGCGTTCGGCCACTGGCGCCATGGCTGCCGAGACAACGATGTCGCCACGCCGCGAGCCGAGGTGCAAGACGAACTTCCGCGACGTTCGGCTGCGATAGTATGGCCGTTATGCCGCTGAGTTAACGTGTGACGGGAGCAACATTACGTCAGCACATTCGACACGACGGAGGTCGCCGCATGCGTGTTTGGCATATCGCCTGTTAGTGGCTCGGTCGGCCGAAGCGTGAGATGAACTTTCCCGAAGTCGAATCCTGGGAGGTGACAAAGTTCATCAGTCCCGAAATGCACATTGTGTCAAATCCTATTCTACACTTCAGCGCCTACGGTGACTTCGTAAATCTCAAGATGATATGCCGGCTCAGTCTTTTGAAGGTGCTTATAGGGATAGGTGTGTGTGTGTGTTCATAGGGTTGAGTGTATGCGCGTATGTATGAGCGTCTGCGTCAGTACTGTGTTCACAAGAAAAAACAAAGAATATAGGATACTTCCCTGATTGTAAAAGGCACGGAACCCTGAATGTGACTGGCCGGCCCATAATTCCATTGTCTGTGTTTTTTTTCTCCCTTTGCTAGCTTTACTGATTCCCATTCTTATTCTCCATTTTTGTTTTTCATATTTTGGTTCTTATTTATTTTTTATTTTCCTCATTACTTTTGATTTTAATTCATGAACACTTTTAAAGTTCATGAATATCTATAATTTCATGAAGTTTTTTCAAGTTCGCAGATATTTTGAAAATTGAAGAAAATATATTAAATTGTGAACATTTTTTATTTCATAAATATTTTTAAAATTCAGAAATATTTTTGCAATTTGTAAACACTTCATAAAATTCATGGAACTATTTATAAATGCAGGCATATTTTTAATTTTCATGAACATTTTAAAATTTGTGAGGTCAACATTTTGAAATTATGAGAATATTTTTGTAAATTCATGATTTTCTTTAAGTTTATTAACCATTTAAAAATTCATGATTTTTTAAATTTATGAATATATATTTATAATCCTGGAAATTTTAAAAAATATGCAAATATTTCCTGAATTCATGACTTTTTTTCAAATATGTAAGGAAACAATAGTCGGGTTTTTTCCTGAACCAGTAGGTGGAGTTTTCTTTTTGTAGAAGAAAGAGCGAAATAGGAAGATGAACTAGCATAGCTAATTAGTGATGCAAGCTAGCATAGCAAACGACTGAATAACTACAGTTGGGTCGGCCCGTTGGCTTTTAGGGAGTGCGTGTTTCCTATCAATGCTGTAGTATTTCGCGTCTTATCCTCTAAATAGGAGGTCCCAAGAATATTTCTCTATTTCTCACAGGGCATCCAGGATGGGTTGGCCCGTTAGCTTCTCAACGTGCACATTTCATAGCAATGGGAAGTATTGTGTGTCTTATGTACTCCCTCTGTAAACTAATATAAGAGTGCTTAGATACTAAAATAGTAATCTAAACATTTTTATATTAATTTACGGAGGGAGTACTAAATAGGAGGTTCAATAATAGGACCCCATTTTGCATTGGGCATCCAGTGATGGGCCACCCTGTTAGATTCCTGGAATACACGTAGAATGACCCCAATCCGCACAGGGAACCAAAGAGATGAGGAGCCCCTAACCGGCGCTCTCAGCACTGGTTTTGATTACTGGTGCTCGAAGATGGTGCTACTTAGGCCGGCCCAGCATAACTTTGTTCGCTCGCTGGCGGGAAGCGTGAAAAAATAACAGAAAAACTAGCCTTCTGGAGGATCGAACTCGTGCCGCGATTAAAACTTACGAGTATGGCTAACCACCACAATAGCTAGGTACTAGCGAGTAATTACAAGGCAAACTTTTTAAGCTGTTCATAGTGGGAGTTAGTTAACTAGTAATATAGCGCATTTCAAAATAAATATGTTTATGTGGCATGTAGTTAACGAAGAGAGATATGTTTGGAGTAACGTAATATATTACCATAACATAACGCAACCCAAGGCAAAATGAGTCTACAATCTAATAAATGCAATCATCTGTGATACTATTTCTATATTACTTTGCACTATGAAGTTAGTAACATAGGCTATTATCATATGCAAGACATTAGTCTAAATTATTCCCCACTATGACTAGCCTTAAGAGCACTGTAGCAGCACAATTTATTGCAAAGTTATACCGTTTTACTGTTGCGCTTTGGTTCTTGAACTATTTCAAAACATTTTTTGAAAATGCGTTTTTCATGTAAACAAAAAATTGAAAGGTCATAGATTTTGCAAATAAGTTTGCGTATTAAAAAAATGCAAAAATACGAAAAGATCATGTATTCAAAAAGAATTCAGCAATTCAAAAGGCTATGAAATTGAAAAAAATATACTAATTTGGGGAAAAGTTCATGAATTTGAAAAAAAGCTCATTGATTTTGAAAAATATTCAGGATTTTTTTTGGGAAAAAATCTATGTGCTCCAATTTTTAGAAAACCATCAAATTTGAAAAATAACTCGTCGAATTTGAAAAACGTTCATTGAAATTGAAAAACATTCATTGAAATTGAAAAAAGTTCATCGAGTTTGACAACAATTCATCAAATTAGAAATACAAATTCATAAATTTTGAGAAAGTTGATGAATTTCATGGAAAATCATCAAATTTGAAAAAAAAGTACATCGAATTTGAAAAAAAAATTCATTGAATTTGAAATAAGTTCATCACATTTTAAAAAAGTTCATTGAATATTATTAAAAAAATCACGCATTTAGAAAAATGGAAAATAGAAAGGACGAAGAAAAATGACAAAGAAAGAAGGAAAAGAAAGAAGAAAAAGGAAATTAGAAACATGAAAAAAAATGAAATGATGTTACAGAATAACGATCGGGTTGGTTGCCTGGTTAGTTTTGTAGCTCGCGCTCGAAGAAGAGGTCGTCGGTTCGGATCAAGAAAAAAAGATTGGATGAGTTGGCCCAGGAGCGGAGGGAGGTGTGCGCCCGATTGCAGGAAGACTTGTAACGGGTGCCTAAAGCGCCGTTTAGGATTAAAGATGGTCTACCCTATGTGCTAGTATCACCGAGTTTTTTTTTAATGAAGGTGCACTTTGTTTGTCAATTTTCTACAGGTGTATCATTTCTCTGTCCGTTCTTTTCGGTTTTTATTTTTTATTTTTTCATCTTGCGTATTATTTTAAATTTTTGTATTCCTTTCATACTTCTCAAACACATAATTATTTTAAATGGATGATTTTTTTAAATGCATGAACATTTTATTCAAAATAAGATAAACATTTTTA